AAATCTTTCCGATTTGTTTGACCTTTAAATTAATTAAAAAATTGGTGTGTAAGTGTACCTAATCAGCCCGCCCTTTACCTTCTATATAAACTGCGAACACTTCCTCTTCCCACCACACCATTCCATTTCCATTTTCATTAGCTTCGTGTTCGTGTCATGTTGAGGGAAATAAAAACAGAGAGAAACAGAGAAATGGGTTCAATTGGTTTGACAAAGAAGCCTCATGCAATTTGCATACCATTCCCAGCACAAGGTCACATAAACTCAATGCTCAAAGTAGCCAAGCTCCTCCACTACAAAGGCTTCCACATAACCTTTGTGAACACAGAGTTCAACCACAAACGCCTTCTTAAATCCAGAGGCCCCAATTCTCTCGATGGCCTTCCTTCCTTTCGGTTCGAAAACATTCCGGATGGCCTGCCTCCAACGGATGCCAATATCACCCAAGACATACCATCTTTGTGTTACTCCCTTCAAGTCTTGTACGTAAGGTAAATCTAGCCCACCCTAATTTGAAATCCTAGGTCTATCCCTGACGATGGATAGAGCTTCTTAGATGTAGGTCCATTTTTATCAAGATGATGTAGTCGATAAGCTCTCCATTTTCAATTAAAATCCATCAACCTATGTGTTTCGCCAAGTAAGCAATTAATATGCCCATAATTTTTAATTAATATACAGTATATAACACTATAAAAAAAGGCAAGTCTATGAAACACCTCCTTAAAATTAATATGGCAATAAATTTAACGGTTTTGTTCTCTTTGCATGACGTCTTCTTCAGTTTGCAGAATATATAGTTTTTCTCTCATCCGGATGTCCGCACGTTATTATCGTACGGATGCCATTATAAACAGGGAGAAAAAATGACATATGGATAGTATAAAATACGTAATATTCGTACGATTTCTTTTATATATATATATATATATATAATTTATAGAGTTTTATTCATGGGTGAGTAATACATGTTATGGAGGTATGAGTTTCTTTTATCTTGTTGTCACGCTTGTTTTAATTTGAGTGTGTTTTGAGGTGGCTTGAAAGTGTAGATAGCTCAGGTCTATAGAGATGGAACATGGTTGCTGATAGTCTTGCCAAATCGGGATCCTCCGTTAATGAGGGGAAAAAGAACATAATCTTAGGTATTAACAGGATATTAGGCAGCTTACTACTATAGTGCAAATGAGTAAGAATAACATGGTTTTCAAGCACTAGAATTTTTAGGTTTAAGCAGGCCAAATACAAAATAGCAACTAGGTAGAATTCTTATCAATTCCAATATTTCATGGAGATAGAAGCACCTGGTTAACCATTTTGTCCAAACCCACAAAAGATGAGCCATTAGGACTGGTGGCCTCCTTTGCCAACTTCTTCCACTCCAAGGTTTTCTTCCTCATCTCCTTGCCCTCATCTCCCTCCATCAACTTCCTCACAAGCCCCTCCACATAATCTCTTTTCACATCAGGGTCTATCTCCAACCCTATCCCCCATTCTCTGCAACTAAACCTACAATTGGTCTGTTGCTCTGCGAAGAAGGGCCAGCAGATCATGGGCACTCCAGCACACACACTTTCAATAGTAGAGTTCCAACCGCTGTGAGTCAAGAACCCTCCTACAGCCGGATGGCTCAGGACTTGTTCTTGAGGGCACCAATTTGCCAACAGGCTCCTTTCTTTGGTCTCTTCCACAAACTCTGGTGGAACCACAGCTGAATCCCCACCAACAAGGTCAGGCCTAATCACCCAAAAGAAGGTCTGGTTGCTGTTTGCAAGTCCCCAAGCAAACTCAATTAGCTGCTCTGCTGTCATCACTGTGATGCTTCCAAAGTTGACATAAACCACAGAGTTAGTTTCTTTAGAGTCAAGCCATTCTAGACACTCTGGTTCCTCTGTCCATAGGTTTGATCTTATCTCCTTCAACACGCTATCTGCCGGGATCTGATTAATCTGTAGATGTAGGGGTCCAATGGAGTAAATAGGTGGTAGCAAAGTCGAAAGTGCATCTAAAACTTCATGTTCAAAGTCACGGAAGGTGTTAAAGATGACAGCAGAAGCTTTTCGAGTTCGCTCTGTTTCATGCACCAAAAAATTCAGCATGATATCATCTGGGTCTGTGGTTCTAATGAAGCTGGGGATGTCCTTTAGTCGGATGCCTCTCATGCCTGGTATCCAATCTATCTCAGTCTCCAAATAGCCGTTTGTCAAATAACTGGCATCTGCAAATCAAATTAAGAAATAATGCGTTAAAAATAATGTCAAGTAGCATGGTTTAGGACAAGATGTTCATTTACAAACCAAAAATTAAAAAAATAGATCATGATCAGTAAATATATGTTCATTGCAAAGTCAGTCATTCCAAATGACCAAACTAGAAGTAGGGTTTTCCTTTTAGTTGAGAATAAAACCTTTGAGAGGAGTTAGACCCTTTTCAATGAAGCGGTGGTACTGTACATAGGCCAAGAAGCCACAAGCACTGGTTGTCCAGAAAAGCACTTCTGGAAGGCCAAATTCTTGGGCTGCATCAAGAGTGAAGCCCATGGCACCGTCAGAAACTACGCAACTTACAGGAGGGCAATCGGGCGAAGAGTTAAGCTTGGACAAAAGTTCTCTGAAGTAAGGCAAGCTGTGTTTCCTTGTGGAATCACATAAGGATGGTATGTCTTGGGTGGCAATGGCATCAGTTGGAGGCAGGCCGTCGGGGATGGTCTCGAATCGAAAGGATGGAAAGCCATCAAGAGAGTTGGGACCTCGGGATTTAAGGAGGCGTTTGTGGTTGAACTCAGTGTTCACAAAGGTTATATGAAAACCTTTGTAGTGGAGGAGTTTGGCTAGTTTCAGCATTGGGTCAACGTGGCCTTGAGCTGGGAATGGTATGCAAACTGCATGTGGCTTCTCTATCAAACCATTTGAACTCATTCTGTCTCTTGATTTCTTTTTTCCCTCTCAAATCACACACAAATTGAACCAGAGAAGCTAAGAAGAATGGGATATAGAGGTGAGAAGAAAAGCCTCTTACAGTACCAGTTTTATAGGAACCCTTTTTCTAAAAGTCAACTAATGCGACAAATGAAGAACCAGTACATACAAAAATTTCAAGCCTATCAAAATATCTATGAGGCCTATGCAGGATAATTGATCATTTGCTCATACAATCGATGGTCTAACCAAAACTGTCATGAGGTGCAAAGCAAGTTTGTCTCCATAAACTGTGTCATAACCGAGGGGGCGGCTGGCGAGACTATATACCATTTGGTATTCTTCTTGAATTTCCAATATTTTTGTGTTTTTTTGTTTTGTTGTTTTTTTGTTTTATTTTATTATGTGTTCTTTTTTTTTTTTTTTTTTTTTTTTTTTTTTTTTATTCTATATGAGATTGGATCACTCTCTTCTTGTTCCTATATATATATATATATATATATATATATATATATTATAGTTTTTTTAAATAGAATAGAAAATATTATTGAGTGTTAGATTATAGGGTAATTGTGAGTGGTGTTGCTTCTTTGCCAACATCACCAGGTCCACCGACTTGGCTTCTTTTTCTCCAGCCACAAGTGTGTGGCTTTATCTATAATATTCTATATTGTACAATATTACTTTTGTGGCTATTGTTTAGTCCTCCATCATGCTCCACCACCATAATCTAGCAACATGAGTGTTCTCGCTCTACAAAGTTCTTCCGAATCTGGAAACAAACCAGTAATACAAAAAACCAGAGGCAGATTAATTCCTAATGTTTCAACTATTTGAATTCTCTCATCTGTAACAAAAGAAAGAAAGAAAAAAAAAATCCTCCATTTCTCGTGGCTTTTAGCACTAAGACTGTTTCCTTTTACATTTTTATATCAACCAAAGCTGAAGAAGAGGAGGCAAATAGGGCCAACAATGGTGAAGAACAAGTAAAAATTCGTATTTAAATATTGAGGACAAAATTGTGGCCCCTAAATTTAGCAATCATTTTCTGCCTGGAAAGCCTTCCCGATGCATCGATGGTCCTCCCACATGGGCATGGGCTCATGCCTCATACAAGCAAAAGTTGATAACAACTGGTTATTAACATAACAAGTAGGTTTTTGTTAATTCTTTCTAATTAATTATTGATTGTCATTTGTAACTAATAATATAATATTCTCTAACTAAAAAAATTAATAACATGTTTGTAATTAATTTTTGTTCACACAAGTACACACCAATGACCTTGGATGATACTTTTTCACATTACATTAGCTTTTAATCATAGAGTGAACTCATTTAACATATACCAACAAATCCAACAGTATATCTGAAATCTAACTCCCAATGCAAAATAATGGAATCATCATATCCAATCCAAGTGTTCAAAAAGTGTTTATAGTGAGCATTATCATCACATTATGTGTCATCAAATTAGTTTGATATAATCTAACCCGTTATTTAAATTTCAAAAAATTATTCAACCACACATAATGTGATAGTAATGTTCATGACCACCATTTAAGAGTGGTCTCTCTCAACAAAGAGATCAATTATGTTATGGCCCCCGCCAAAACAAGTTGCCTTAATTGCAACACAGATAGCACGACCAATAATGCTACACACTAGTCCGCCAAAACAAGTGAAAGTGATATCCCCGTAATCTTTCTCCTACACGCTAGTCCCACTTGTTTGTTCCTATTTTTGGCATGAAATACACACGTAATATAATAAGTCTCTTTATTTATGAGGATTCGTTTTTTTGTTAGAATCCAGCTTGTCCTGCAATTTGATTTCATAATTCAAACCGTCTCTTTTTCACTGTTCTTGTTTCTATTGTTTATTACAGAAAAATACATTATCAAAGACACTTGTCACAGGTCATGTCATTCCCTTAAATAGGTGAACCTAATCAACTCACCCCTTACCTTCTACATAAACTGTGAACACTTCCTCTTCCCACCACACCATTCCATTTCCATTTTCATTTAGCTTCGTGTTCGTGTCGTGTTGAGGGAAATAAAAACAGAGAGAAACAAAGAAATGGGTTCAATTGGTTTGGCAGAGAAGCCTCATGCAGTTTGCATACCATTCCCAGCACAAGGCCACATAAACCCAATGCTCAAAGTAGCCAAGCTCCTCCACTACAAGGGCTTCCACATAACCTTTGTGAACACAGAGTTCAACCACAAACGCCTTCTTAAATCCAGAGGCCCCAACTCTCTCGATGGCCTTCCTTCCTTTCGATTCGAAAACATTCCGGATGGCCTGCCTCCGACAAATGCTAGTGTCACCCAAGACATACCATCTCTGTGTTACTCCACCAGGAGACACTGCTTGCCTCACTTCAGAGAGCTTTTGTCTAAGCTCAACTCTTCCCCCGCTTCTCCTCCTGTGAGTTGCATAGTTTCTGATGGTGCCATGAGCTTCACTCTTGATGCAGCAGAGGAATTAGGGATTCCAGAAGTGCTTTTCTGGACAACAAGTGCTTGTGGCTTCATGTCCTACGTTCAGTACCATCGTCTCATTGAAAAGGGTCTCACTCCTCTTAAAGGTTTTAATCTCAATCAAAATGAAATACCCAAGTAGTGTTGCCCTTGCTTGTGTTTATCTTATGCTTTTCATTTTTAATAATAAACTGCATACTAATTTGGAAAAAACACAAAACAAAACAATCTAGTGTTTATTGTTGCAGAAAAACTCGTATGAAACTAGATCGCATTGTTTTGATATCTCCGACCATATAGTTGCAGTACATTAATTATTGTTGATATTTGGTTGATATGGATAATGTACTGGATCCTGTAACATGGCAGCCTATTAATGGTGTGTGGTATGAAGTAATGAATTCAACCTTCTGAGCTGGTCATTCGGAAATTGACTGACTTTACAGTCGGACACATCTTGACTGATGTTGTGCATAAGATTAACTTATATTTTAATTAAAATGTTAACTAACTTTCCTAATTTGATAATTTGATTTAATTTGCAGATGCCAGTTATTTGACAAACGGATACTTGGAGACTGTGATCGATTGGATACCAGGCATGAAAGATATCCGATTGAGGGACATCCCAAGCTTCATAAGAACCACAGACCCAAACGACCCCATATTGGATTTTATCCTGCACGAAACAACACGAGCTAGAAAAGCCTCAGCTATCATTTTGAACACATTTTATGACTTAGAACATGAAGTCATAGATGCACTTTCAACTTTGCTTTCACATATTCACTGCATTGGACCTCTCCATTTGCTACTCAACCAGATACCAGCAGACAACGAGTTGAAGTCAATCGGGTCAAATCTGTGGACTGAGGAACCAGAGTGTCTTGAATGGCTCGACACGAAAGAACCTAACTCTGTGGTTTATGTCAATTTCGGAAGCATCACGGTCATGACATCTGAGCAGCTGATTGAGTTTGCTTGGGGGCTTGCAAACAGCACGCATACATTTTTGTGGGTTATTAGGCCTGACCTTGTAGGTGGAGAATCAGCTGTAGTTCCGAAAGAGTTTGTGGATGAGACGAAAGAAAGGAGCCTATTGGCGAATTGGTGCCCTCAAGAACAAGTCCTGAGCCACCCGGCCATAGGAGGGTTCTTGACGCATAGTGGATGGAACTCTACGCTTGAAAGTGTGTGTGGTGGAGTGCCCATGATCTGCTGGCCCTTCTTTGCAGAGCAGCAGACCAATTGTAGGTTTAGTTGCAGAGAATGGGGGATAGGGTTGGAGATAGACCCTGATGTGAAAAGAGATTATGTGGAGGGGCTTGTGAGGAAGTTGATGGAGGGAGAGGAAGGCAAGGAGATGAGGAAGAAAACCTTGGAGTGGAAGAAGTTGGCAAAGGAGGCCACTACTGGTCCTAGTGGGTTGTCTTTTGTGGATTTTGAGAAAGTGGTCAACCAGGTGATTCTAGCGCAGAGGAAGTAGAAAGAATTGATTAAATCACTGTTGGTTAATTAATTAATTATTTTATTTGTGTTGAATCTAGTTGTTAATTAAATTTGTATTATTCGGACCATATCTGGTTCCGTCTCATGCACACACGTCTAAATTATTCTTTCAGGTTTGTCTTGATGTTTTATAGCCAAACCAGAGCTACTAAACAAATTTAGGGGACCTGCAATCACTAAACCTTCTATGAAGAAAAATAATCCCTTGTTTGTGTCGATGAAAGCTCTCTGATTTCGACCTGGACAGTTTTTACGCATCTCTCGGTATAGCTGGCCTTTTTTCCAACTCTTCCTCAGCTTTGGTTGGTAAAAAAGTGTAAAAGGAAGTAGTCTTCCATTTTGGTAAAAACCCTCTGCTTTCCACCTCAACACTTTTTACTTGTTCCTCAGGATTGTTGGCCCTATTTGCTTCCTCTTCAGCTTTGTTGGTAAAAAAATGTAGAGGGATGTAGTCTTCGTGCTTGAAGCCATGAGAAATGGAGGATTTTTCTTTTCTTTTCTTTCTCTCTTTTGTTACAGATGAGAGAATTCGAGATTAATTTAATCTGGCTCAGGCTTTTATAATGATAGATGCACTGTGCGAAGTGGAAAAGCTGGTTATTTCCATGTTCTGAGTAATTTCAATATGACATGTATAATGTAAAGGGAAGATTTAAATGATGAATCTCTTGCTCTCATTTCTCCCAAAACATGGGAATGTAATTTTAAACTCATTCCCTAGTTCCTAAATCTTGAATCAAATGAACCCTCAATGCTTTTTTGTCCACTGCCAAATTGCCCACGCTGACACATCACATAGATTTCACCAATTATATAACCCTATCTTCTCTTCTCAATTCACATTTAGGACCTTGTAGCTGAAATGGTTTCGATTTCCCCCTCCCTAATACAGCTTGTATAAAATAATATATAGTCCTCTTTCTGTTGAGGAATCCTTCAAATAAACTTATATAAAATAATATATATTGAAATTCCGGTTTGGTCGTCAGAGGCACGTGTAGTAAAGTACATGGGCTAATTCGTGACAACAAAACTCTAAGGACCCAAATTCAGTGATGTTTATATTTGTGCTGATCTTGAACAAGCCCTAAAACCTCTTGCATTGACATGGATGTGGCTTTGTAAACGGGCTGTTCATATGTAAACTTCTACACAAAACACATCTTTAGCTGGACTAAAAGCCCATCCCAACCAGGTGGGCCACTTTGCATGGCCCCTTCTGCCTTCAAAATTCTCAATATGTGCGAGGAGGCATTGAAATTGAAAGCAACAAAACCTGCCGAGTGAAATTCATTTACTAAATGGGTTCAAGTGCAATAGTTACATTAACCACATCATTTTATACTTGCACCCACACATTAATATATACAATGATCACCACAAAAGAGCCACGTGTCCTTCTAAGCTCAACACTCTCACTCAATGGTTGAACACTGAGAAGTATTAGGATCAAACAGAGCAGGCGAGAGGTACTTCCTCCCGTTCACACCAATCGCTTTGTAGCTCGCACCAGAACTTGTGTCCAATTGTAACACCCCAGCATAACCGGGATAAGCCCCTTTCCCATACACCCCAGGACAAGCCGAAGCCGCCTCCAGGGGAGCCTCAGCCGAGCCCATATAGTAGCCGCTTCCAAACGGGTTCGTCACAGAACCGGCCAAAAGACTCGCGATATTTACGACCATGCCATCCACCCCCACGTTACCGTTGGGTGCACCCAGCGGTGATGTCTGTGGCCCGTACACGGGTTGGTGAAACGGCCACGCACACTGACCCGGGCATTGAGTCACCGAGTTGCCAACCCAGATGAAGACCGAGTTGCCTTTGTGGCCATGGGACCCACAGTTGCTCATGCAAAAGTCCTCAACCGCCACGTCATGCGATGTGAGAACAAGAGTCAACTCACCGGGTGACGAGTTGACCCGGTGAGCCAACTCGGAGACATGAGATTTCTTCAAGTTTTTGCCAATTGAGTAGTTTTTGTCTGAGAGTTGGGTTGAGAGAGAAATGCGGGTTGGCTTTTTGCCAGCTTTTTTCATGTAGGTTTGGACTGTGCCCCACCAGAGAGAGACTGAGGACTTGGATTGTTGGTCTTTTTGTGGATCAATATGATTAAGAGAGAGAAGAAAATCAACAACAATGGATTTTTGGGGTGGTGCGAAATTTCCATACCATAGAATTGAAACTGGGAGGTCCCCTTCAAGCAAAGCACCACCATGGTAAGTTAGGGCCATGGGTGGAGGTCGGCAGAGTGATGTTAGCTTTCTTGCTCCAAGACACACGTGAATTATTAAGCTCAATTGAGCAAGGAAAAGATAGGATGGTTTAGAAAATTGAGAGGAACCCATTAATTTCCACATGTTTTAAAAGAAAAAGATTGTTGGGGTTTCAAAGATTCTCAAAGGGAGAGACAGATTTTGGTACTTTTTTAGTGATGAGATTGAGAGGAAGGAGTGGTAGTTGGTGCATGCACCAACCAAAGTGTTTCAAATATCAAAGCCTTTCAAAAATTTGCAATTGAGCATTTTTTTTTTTTTTTTTTTTTTTTTTTAATACAATTGATTATATATTATTAGAGAAATCAAATGTTTGTTTATATGATGTAGTAGAAATTTTGATTACCAAATCTTAACTATGAGTGATTTTGCATCTCAAAACATGATAAGAGAAGGAAAAAAAAATATGACATCAAGGGTTAGGTGTTTTTTTTGGCAATCTAAAACCTTAATTTATATGAGCAGCATCTCCTACATGCAATGAATTGGTGGGGTCCATATTTAGAGAAACACTTATATAAAACGGGGATATCACTATTTTGTTATCCCCTTCCAATCACTTGTAATTGATTGGGAATAGCAATATAGTGCTATTTTCGTCCAATTACAAGAGCATAAAAATTAAAAAATAATAAAAAGGAATCTCAATTCCTTCACGCTTTTGATTAATTAGGATTAGATATTGAGATTAGGAAGGTGACTTTGCTTTGCATTTGCTTTTGCTGACGCCAACTTCGATTTCCTGTCTACCAAAATGGCATCGAGGGAAGCAGAAAGAGTGAAAATTGAAGGAACCTTGAACCTGCAAAGGTTCAACAATGGGCTGCATGTGCTTAAAACCAATTTACTAGGCACCGCTTTCGATTAATTTATCCCTTAATATTTGAGCTTTTGCATATATATAGATGTTTCCTATTGTTTTCCCACTACCTAAAAGCTATATATGCTCAAGCCTAATGAGGTTTAAACATGTGAAACATGAGACTAAGTTGGCCTTTTTATTTTTTATGTTTTCTCTTTTCAATTTTAGGTACTTACAGTCTATAGATTCTTGATAGAGGCATACTTTGATGAGGTTAATTTTATTTTTTTTAGTCCGCATGGAAAGTGGAAAGTGCAAGCACGATCATAAGTTTTCACAAAAAAAAAAAATATGATCAAATCAAGGATACATGGACACCACCACATAACTCATGAAGTGAAGTAAAATATATGTACTTATCAAAAGACATGAATTATAAAACATTGGAAACTGCGTGTACATGAACAATGCAACGAGTGATTTTATCACCGCATCAGTATGTAATATTATTATCGTACATAATAATTTATCTAAAATAGAGACCATCAGTGCAATATGCAAAAACTAGTATTCACGCACTTTATTTTATTAGATTTAATCCAAGATTGAACTCGAATCATGATTATAAAGATTTAGGGCTTAGAATTTATCGATTTATTCCGATTTACTAGACTCAAGCGAGTGAGAGTTAGACAAATTTTCTCCCTCTCCATCAGCAGTTTCAATGATGCATTGCCTTTTAATAACAAAGCAAGAGTGAGTGGGATTAGCTGGACAACCCTTTATTCTAACAAAAGTGGAGGACAAAACTAGAAAAGAAAGGGGTGAGATCTCAATTGTATTTGCCATGGCTTGTTTCTGAAAAGAATCTGTAAAAGCAAGCAGGTATAATAAGATTTGTCCACTAGAATATGTAGGCCCAAAAGAGGAGGTTCTTGCTTTGATGTGCCTATCTGCAACGAAAGTGCAATGAACTTTAACATCATGGTATTCTCAGAACTTGAAAAGGTAGCCCATGCAGGCTCCTATGGCTTTGTGGGTCACATGCCATGTCTGGTACTACAAGTTCCATACCAGGGATGTGGTCACTGCAGGGTATAAATGTTATTTAAGTTTTATTGAATGGATAACAGATATGCAGTTCGAACTCTTTCAAGTGTTAGATCTGCCCACTGCACATGCTAGTAAATGTTTGGTTGAATACACAGATATTATAATCTGATGGAAATGGGTTTTAATTGGATTTCCAAAGCACCACTCGTGCAAACTATTATAAAATTATCATTTATCAGGGTGACCATATTTTTTTTAATATGACATAGTGGTAACCATGTTTGCAAGTATAGGTACAAACGTGAAGCGGTCAGCCATTAGACAGGCTAGCTGGATCGATGCCCAGCTGGTAGCATCCGAGGAGACTTACAAGCACTTTGCTAAGTTATGGAATATGATTGAGGAGCTTCAGTTGCTTAATTAAGTATTCATGATTTTCATAAACCAAAATTAAGATTTTATATAGAACTCGATTTTGGTACATAAAAGCGATATTGATAATGTGATTAGTAAATGTTGTGCATATAGATTTTTCATTATTGAATTGATGCATGTGCATGCTTCAAAATGCACGAAAGACCTAGAACAAGAAATCGAAGCTCCAATATATATAATAACAATCGTGTTTGAAGCATAACAACAATAATGTAACCAAAAACACCTCATATCTATTCCACATCAATTCAAACTGAATTACAACCCAACATAATGACAAAAATTGTCTGCTTCATCTCCATGTTTTGGTCAAAAACGAATTTATTATAGTTACTTACAGCTCTCTGTTTATTCCCCAAGCATATAGACAGCCACAGCTAAGGAGTCCTCCAGAACACAGACAAAGAAAATCCAGGATAAGGATATGTTAAAAGGACATAGCGTATAGCTCTACATGTATAAACAGAACCCTAACTAAAACATACGAAATCAACTAGACCAGGCTACATTCATGGAACCTTTCTGGTTAACTACAAAAACTTAATAAATTAAGGGTATTAACTTAATTTAATAACTAAAACTGATTAATTATATTAAATTATACTGTCTGCTGCAGGGAAGAAACAAAGCAACTATATCTAGTGCTGAATCTGCCAAGAGACACGCTCTTTTTCATTTTTTATTTTTCTTTTGAGTCAATCGGGGTGTTAGGGCATTGTAGGGGGACGCATTGTCAAACTCAAAACATTATGATTTGATTTACAAGTTAAACCTGACAGGATATTAATTTAATTAATTACAATAAACCCTATGTTTCTTTTTAAATTCTTATGGGGGGTTTTTTCTCAGAGAATAGCGATAGGATTGTATTGATAGGATACGAAACTAGTACAAAAATTGGGCTATGTCATCGGGTATTAGGCAAGTTTTTTTACACATATGAGCTCAATTATCGGTCTAAATGGATGGTAGTACCCTCTCAACCGCAAACGGGAGAAAAAACCTTGTTTTGAATAGAGTACCCCCTTCATATATATTACTCGCAGCTCGTGAATTTAGGTTCTAGATAGGGTGATAAGGATGACGATAGCCAGCTACTTATTCTAGTTTAACGTGATCATTTGTTTAATGCTAGCTCAATTAATTTAAACTATTTGTTATGTTATTAGAGCTAGGTTTATTTGTTAAATTAATAGGCATGATTGGGATTTTCATTTTGACACGTTCATGCCCGGCTGGTGATGAGAATTTGCACGTGCACCTGTATGTACAAAAACCAGATTTAATTTGCTCTAAAAACGAAATAAAAGTACATTATGATTCATGAACTTTCTTCACGAGTCATGTTACTGTGTATATGCTAACGTTGGAATCACTTGAATTCACGGGTTGAGGGAGGCCACTGTTTTCTCCTAATAAACATAGACCGGTATCTAATGAAACAATGTTCTAAAATCTCATTAGTCTGATCCAAACTATTAATTAATCACTTTGTTTCTAGTTTGATTAAACAATATTTTTCAATTAGCACAAGGAAGAAGAAGGAGAATAAAAAAAAAGTTTAAGAACATGGGAGTCCAGTCTGATCATGTCAGTTTTTCGATTTCAGAGAATACAATGACGCATAATTAACACATAGTTTTGTTTTGTATGATTATAGTATAACATCAAACCCTCACAATATTAACAAAATGAAAACAAACATCCCAAGTTTGTCTTAAATATTAATGTTCCCATAATGTTTATCTTTACTCAAATTTATCAACCGACTTAAGATCGTAACGAAGAAAAATGAAATAATAAGTTAAGATTATGGTATAATTAGAATTCGAGTCCTTCAAATGTAACTGAATGTTGTAAGCAAACTTTAAACATGAACTTAGAGTAAACTCACAATTACCTCAAGTAATTTTGATGTATTTTTTTGTTTGGGTTTAATGGGTATTGGTTCTCACATCAATTGCATCAATATCATTAGGAGACATCATGAACCAAAACAATAGACCAGAGGTGTCTTAGCAAAATCCTATAGCCCCTAATATACAGGCGAACAGTAAAATGTACCTCAAATGAAACTTAACCGCCATTATAAAATCATAAGCGGCGTGCATCACATTATCAATTTTTGGAATATAAAAAAATCAATTTTCGTTTAATTAAAGTAGTTTGAAATTGTCCAACAACAAAAAAAAGGTAGCTTGAAGGGGTTGTAGATCAGTGGTCTCAAATTTGAATCATTATGGCACTTTGGTAGTGTGTGTGTATGAGAAACCCTCAATTTCCTTGTAGTTTAGCATAAAAACTTATATAAAACGATGATATTACTATTTTGCTATCCTCAACCAATCACAGATTACCACGTGTGACATGCTGTGATTGGTCGTGGATAACAAAATAGTGTTATTCCCGATTCTCATATTTTAGACTATCCGCTTGTATTTTTAAAAAGTTCAAAAGTTACTTTTGATCCTTATAGTTTATCTCTTTTTCACTAAATTGAAACTATAAAGGCAAGAAGTGACAAATAAATAAACTATATGGACAAAAAGTGACTTTTAGCCGCACACACAAAAATAAAAAATAAAAAATTGAAGGGTTTATTCATAAATCACCTCCACTTTAATTACTTCTTACATGCATGAAAGATGACGTCAAATTTAATGCAGTTCCCTAAATGGAAGATAAGATCCTTCAAGACTTATGAAGAGCCAATTAAAAATTAAAAACAATAATAAAACAATTTAATATACACATGGAAATAATGACGTGTCAGATGATATAAATTCCTTCCTCTGGATTCATTGGTCATAAAAAGATTAGGTGAAAACCTTCCACCTATGAACCCATCAGCCCAGCAGGTTTTTAGACTTGCAAGCTGTTACGTGTACTTAGCTTGATCCAGCTGGCGCCTCAAGGACTTTTCAAATTTACATGCACATCATTTAATTAACCTTAATTAGTTATAATTAAATGATAATAAGTAAGATTCGCCTTCCCTCCCGGTTCCAGCTCACCACCAATCACTCACGAGCTCTGTGTGAGCGGAGAGACTGCGACAGTGTGACGCGGGGACTTACAGTGCGCGTGCCCTCACGTGATCGTCCCACATCGGATACCAGATGACTGCCAGTTGGCTCAGTCCACGCTTCCCGATAGACATTCATTTTTTCTGCCCACAAGCCAGCCTGTAAACGCAACGTCTATCTTCGATAGTGAGTTGACGGTATTGCCCGCCGAATAATGGGATGCGCGGGGGTTTAATGAAGGGTGGTTTGGTCAATTCCGGTGGTTGTGCGATCTGTAGCTAAGCTGTAATGCTTTTTTGTCTTGTAGCTGGAGGAAAAAGGTTTCACTTACTTCCACAAAGGATGCCTTTGCCTGTGCCTTTGGCTCTGCCTCACCCTGCCCTACCCATAATTAATATCCATTTAGGCATTGGCTGTAACACACGTTTTCTTTCTGGAATGAGGACAAATCTCTACTCTCACTCTCTATGCTTTTTGCTCATTCACCTCCACAAATTCAAATTACAATAATAATTTTGACAATTACTTTAGTAAAAATAAAATTCACTTGTTTTAATTGTGATTTGCTTGCATGATCCATATAAACTTGTTTAATTAAGTAAATTTCACGTGTTTCAAAAGAAATTGTCATTTGGATATAGCGTCACGTGTCCACAACATTCATCACGTGCTCTCAGGTGTATAGTAAATTTTACCGAGATTATAAGCAAAATAACTTTACATTGTCACATGAAGAAAATAAATACAATTGATATAATGTTACATTATTATATTAAATATTTCATTTATAAAATTAAGATCACCTTTTTTTCGTGAAAGTGGAAGGAATAATTGTACAATACATACAAACCCCCTCACAGTATCCAAATGCTATTTTAATTCTAAATTTCTCTCACATGTTTATAAAAGGAAAGGATGTTTTGTTTGGTTCTTTTTAGTTGTGTACTTGTATTTTTTTTTATTAGAAAAAGGAAATAAAAGAGGAAAGGGTATTGATTGATATTTGTGGTTGGAGCGTGGAAACAAAATGCATGTTGGGAGCGTGAGTGGGGAGCCGAGAGCAGGTATGAGTTAATCGTTTCGAAATAAAGAAACGCGCTTGGAGTACCGTTTGGTCACTTTTTTCTTACTGGCCACAGTCCGCAAGTCGTGAATGGGAAGCAAGCAGGCAACCCATCTCTCTCTCTCTCTCTCTCTCCTCTTTCTCTTTCGTAACCCCTTCCCACATTCAATTAACCCTTATTTTTGAACCTTTTCCTCAGATATATAAATACCCTTTCACCCCCACTCTCATTCCACACCAAAAATCACAAGCCTTCTCAGCTTGAAAACCAAAAACCGATCTATTCTGTTCCTAAAAATACCCCGAAAGGAAAATGGTAGTTTTGGGTTCTTCCTCTTCTCTTTTGAAACTCTTTCTTGTTGCTTCTTTGATCCAAGTCTCTTTGGGTTCTAGCAGATTTTTCCAAGTCTCGTTGGCAACAAGGAAGCTCAGTGAGCTTGTCCAAGGCCAAACCCAGCTCTTGAAATACCACAATGGCCCTCTTCTTTCTGGCAAAATAGCCATCAACCTCGTTTGGTATGGCAACTTCAAGCCTTCCCAGAAAGCCATCATCTCAGACTTCATCACCTCCTTGTCTTCATCTTCACCCCCAAAAGCCACCCCACCATCCGTCGCCACGTGGTGGAAAACCACTGAAAAATACTACCACCTCAGCTCCAACAAGAAGACCTCTCTCTCCCTCTCTCTGGGAAGACAGATTCTTGATGAAAAATACTCCCTTGGGAAATCCCTAACCACCAAACAGATTGTGCAATTGGCCTCAAAGGGTGACCAGAAAAACGCCATTAACGTCGTTTTGACGTCTGCCGACGTGACTGTTGATGGGTTCTGTATGAACCGATGCGGGACCCACGGGTCTGCTTTGGGCTCCACCAAAACTGGTCTCATCAAGGGCAGCAAGCGTTCCAAGTTTGCTTACATTTGGGTTGGAAACTCAGAGACCCAGTGCCCAGGGCAATGCGCCTGGCCATTCCACCAGCCCATCTATGGTCCCCAGAGCCCACCACTGGTGGCCCCCAACAACGACGTGGGCCTAGACGGCATGGTCATCAACCTGGCTAGCCTCTTGGCCGGGACTGCAACCAACCCCTTTGGAAATGGCTACTTCCAGGGCCCAGCTGAGGCTCCATTAGAGGCTGCTTCAGCTTGCCCTGGGGTTTATGGGAAGGGGGCTTATCCTGGTTATGCTGGAAACTTGTTGCAGGAGCCCTCGACGGGTGCAAGCTACAATGCCAATGGTGCTAATGGAAGAAAGTACTTGCTTCCTGCTCTATATGACCCTGCAACTTCATCTTGCTCAACTTTGGTTTAAATCTTGTGTGGGGTTTGGAAACTTTTAGTAGACGGAAATGTATACGCCTGATTAGGAGTAGATATATTCATTGATTTGTTGTAATTTCTTTTGTTATGCGGGTTATAATTATATAAAAAGCAAATTGTTCTGATTTGCATCATAAAACTTTGTCCCTTGAATTCTTGTTATTTGAGCTTGCCTTTATTTAAATAAAGATTAGTAGTATCTGGTAGAACAAAAGCAAAAGTTAGATCCTAGATGGCCTTGATCAAAGTTGCTAGAGTGGATGTATTCCCCATAATCCGAGTCTGAATTCACCTCCCGGTAATTTAGATTAGTTTATTATTGCTTCTATATTTTTAAAAACAAAAACAAAAAACGTAAGTTACCAGTTTTTGGGGCCAAATTCTTAATTAGGGTTTTTTGTTCTTTATAAAGTAAGAAGAAAAACTGTGGCATTTGATCCCTACTTGTAACATCCAAGTTCCTTTGTGTCCGTATTTTATGTACAGAAGCGGTCTGCACTTATAAAAACACGATCTTTGCACAATTTGAATAGTTAATTGTCAAACAAGATCCTTTGTTTTTTGTTAATAGATTTGAGGACAGAGCTAAGGAACCCTCTACAGTTATATGCTGACTTTATCTATCTTATATTATTGCACTTCACCTGCTTTATGTCCCTACTTTGAAATAAATCCCTTCGCTAGTGATCAAATGGGTTGGCAGTTACCATTAGTCATTGCCAATGCCAGTAATTTTGAAGAATTTAAAAACTCAAGTAGATAGCTAAGATTCGTCATGGTGTATTGTACAAAGACTCTTTGGTTTTCTTTATTAAGGACGAAGACACAATGATATTGTCGAAAATGAATCGATAACACGTCAGCACATTCTATTAGCAACAATGTCAAATCATAACATTATCGATAGCATTATCTATAGGTATGGGTTACTGGGGGGAGAAGAAGATACAGAGGGAGAGCACCGAGGAGAATTGAATTAACGGAACATTAACAATGAAATTACATTGTAACAAATTTAAGAGACAGGAGTTTATAATTGTAAAAATTGAAAAGATATAGACTAACTACAGAATACTAAACTGTCATTAACCCTATTTTTTGTTGTTTCACAAAGAACATACAATCCTCAGCCAATGCTAGCTCCCCTTCAAGCAAAAAGAAAAGGGCTGTCCAAAGTGATGGGAGACATAAATTAAGATGGTGAAGAGCAAACAGATGCCTTTGCTTTGTCCCTAGTTCACAAAAGGACAAAGATCATGTACTTTTATTTGCAAAATTCAGTCCAGAGTGTATGAATGGGAATTGTAAATTCAGATGCCAAAATAAATTGCCTACTCTTTTCTGTATAATATTATACCCAAATGGTCGGTTTCTTGGCATGCCTACATATTCAATTTTTAACTCAAACTTAGCCAGTTAAAAAGTCCGTTGGGAGCTTTGAAGTTTGAAAACCAAAGTCAGCTCAATTAACAAGAAAGTGGTGACATTATATTTACTTGGAAGCATGATAATACTTGGATGTTGCAAATTTTTGTAGTTCGCTTATATAAAAGATTAAAATCTGAAAATACTCATGGAAATTAATGCAAATCGAAGCAATCTGCTATTATGTTATTATAATCCTCATAACCCAACAATTTAATCAACAAATCAATGAATATATTTAACTCCTACATAATCGTATACATATTAATTATCTCTGCAGCTACTAAACCAAAGTAGAACAAGATGAAGTAGCAGGGTCGTAGAGAGCTGGAAGCAAGTACTTTCTTCCATTAGCACCATTGGCATTGTAGCTTGCACCAGTCGAGGGCTCCTGCAACAAGTCTCCAGCATAACCAGGATAAGCCCCTTTCCCATAAATCCCAGGGCAAGCTGACGCAGCCTCCAATGGAGCCTCAGCTGGGCCCTGGAAGTAGCCATTTCCAAAGGGGTTGGTTGCAGTCCCGGCCAAGAGGCTAGCCAGGTTGATGACCATGCCGTCTAGCCCCACGTCGTTGTTGGGGGCCACCAGTGGTGGGCTCTGGGGACCATAGATGGGCTGGTGGAATGGCCAGGCGCATTGCCCTGGGCACTGGGTCTCTGAGTTTCCAACCCAAATGTAAGCAAACTTGGAACGCTTGCTGCCCTTGATGAGACCAGTTTTGGTGGAGGCTAGAGCAGACCCGTGGGTCCCGCATCTGTTCATACAGAACCCATCAACAGCCACGTCGGCAGACGTCAAAACAACGTTGATGGCGTTTTTCTGGTCACCCTTTGAGGCCAATTGCACAATCTGTTTGGTTGTGAGGGATTTACCAAGGGAGTATTTTTCATCAAGAATCTGTCTTCCCAGAGAGAGGTAGAGAGAGGCCTTCTTGTTAGAGCTGAGGTGGTAGTATTTTTCAGTGGTTTTCCACCACGTGGCGACGGATGGTGGGGTGGTTTTGGAGGGTGACGAGGAAGACAAAGAGGTGATGAAATCTGAGATGATGGCTTTCTGGGAAGGCTTGAAGTTGCCATACCAAATGAGGTTGATGGCTATTTTGCCAGAAAGAAGAGGGCCATTGTGGTATTTCAAGAGCTGGGTTTGGTCTTGGACAAGCTCACTGAGCCTCCTTGTTGCCAAGGAGACCTGGAAAAATCTGCTAGAACCCAAAGAGACTTGGATCAAAGAGGCAACAAGAAAGAGTTTCAAAAGAGAAGAAGAACCCAAAACTGCCATTTTCCTTTTGTGGTTTTTGAAAAACAAAGAGATTGATACAGAGATTCAGAGTGGGATTTTGGAGAGGCTGTGAAGCTGCGAGAGGGATTGTGATTTTGGTGTGAGATGAGAGGAGTGGGAGAGGGTGTATTTATATAGCGGAGAAAGAGGTTCAAATTGGGTGTGTGTGAGACTGGTTTAGGTCTGGCTTGGGACCGAATCTAAGACCTAGCAGATGACAGGGATGAGCCAGCTATGTAAATTAGGACAGACGAGACAGCCCATAGAGTATGCGAGGGACAAAAAGTCGCTCATTGTATTTTTGTTTTTGGTCAAAAAGTAGCCACAGTATAACAACTCTTCTTCCACACAAACATAAATAGGGAAAATTGCTCTTCCCTTGTATAACATATAATTCTAATTTTGTTTAATGGAAAAGCATCAAGTTGACTAATTGATTTAATATATGCAACTAGATGAATCAATCACAACAACAACAAAAACCCAAAATTTCAAACCGTAATTAACTTTGTTGAAGGCGTATTATTTAACTCTGAATTTAGTGATATATTTCTTTTTAATGTTAAAAACATGTTCTGATTTCGCATGTCCCGTTTTCCCTACTTGAAAATAAAATTCGTACTTCGCTTCTCAAATGGCATATGTTTCCTTCATTCTGTTTTTGTTTTTGTCCCTTGATTTTTCTTATTAAAGGTGGGGGAGAACATGCTAGATCTATTTTGACCGGCATCAATTAAAAACTATGGCAATGCCCTGCACCACAATGTACGCCAATAATAGTAATCAACTTCACATTCACTCTTGCATGACAAAAATATCAATAATTAGTCACACCCTTCGCCACATAAAGTCTAAAGAGCAAACGCGTTTTTGTCCTCCTCTTCCTCAAAAAAGTAAATCCTGACAGTCATGAGAGAGTGAGCCCAAAACTCTGTCGTTTTCATCCCCCATAACTCCTTGGGCTGTCTTTTATTTTGTCCCTATTGACATCGCTGGCTGGCTCAGACCTGTCATCGGATAGCACGTCTTCAAATTCCTTCCATCCATCCAAACAAACCCTTCACCCACTTGAAATTTGCAACGCGTTGTCCTGCTGGCCTCTCACTCTCCCACTTTATGTGCTGAAGTTTCAATCCTTTTACCTCCTTCCATGCACTTTCTTCCCCCCAACTTCTGACCACTATATATACACAAATTTCCTTCTCCATTCTCCAATTCAATCCAAACCCACAAAAACTTTGAGCTTCGTTTCAAATTGGTCACTTTTGTTTTTACACGAAACCATGTCTGCTTTTCTGAAATTAGTGCTTCTGATCTCTCTGTTCCATTTTGGCTCGGCAGCTCGGAGCCTTTCTGAGACTCCTTCTGACCAAACCCAGCAACCATCTTTGCAATTTCAGTACCACAATGGCCCTCTCCTCTCTGGCAAATTCTCCATCAACTTGATCTGGTACGGCAACTTCAAACCCTCCCAGCGTGCAATCGTCTCTGATTTCATCACCTCCCTTGCTTCTCCTTCCCAATCCAAACCCACCTCAGGCCAACCATCTGTTGCCACGTGGTGGAAGTCCATAGAGAAATACTACCACCTCTTGAGTTCCAAGAAACAATATTCTCTCTCCCTCTATTTGGGCACCCAAATCTTGGATGACAAGTACTCTCTGGGGAAATCCCTCACTGCTCGTCAAATCCAGCAATTGGCCTCAAAGGGTGCCCAGAATTATGCAATCAACGTAGTTTTGACCTCATCTGATGTTTTGGTTGATGGGTTTTGCATGAGCAAATGTGGAAGCCATAGCTCTTCCTCTAGCTCCAGCCACATTAGGGGCAAAACCCAGAAGTTTACTTACATTTGGGTGGGAAACTCCGAGACCCAATGCCCTGGCCAGTGTGCCTGGCCATTCCATCAGCCCATCTATGGGCCCCAGGGCCCTCCACTGGTGGCCCCCAACAACGATGTGGGCCTAGACGGCATGGTCATCAACCTGGCTAGCCTTTTGGCTGGGACTGTGACCAATCCATTTGGAAATGGCTACTACCAAGGTCCCAAAGAGGCTCCATTGGAGGCTGCTTCTGCTTGCCCTGGGGTTTATGGGAAAGGCGCTTATCCTGGTTATGCTGGAAACCTCTTGGTGGACCCCACAACCGGTGCTAGCTACAATGCTAATGGTTCTAATGGGAAGAAGTTCTTGCTTCCTGCTCTGTTTGACCCTTCAACCTCAACTTGTTCTACTCTGGTTTGAGATATGAGAGTGCTGAAGAGTTCTTAGAGGAGATAACAATGGTTTATGTGACATTTGGAAATATTAGGAGAATACATTATGTAGAGAAGTATAATTGTTAGGGGGATGAACTTTGTAACATACGTATATTTTTTATTCTTTTTGTATCACATTTCCAATAATGAAAATCTATTATTTTGTTTCCCTTTCAGTGTTGCTTGACAATCTGTGATGTATTCAGAAAAAAAGCCGCATTTAACGTCATATTCTTTATAATTAAAAAAAGAAAGAAAAAGAAAATGAATATCAATTATACACATTAAACAATACATATCCATATATATTTGTAAATCTGTAAAAACGTTATTATGTTTTGGTGAGTATGTAAATAATAATAATAAAGTTGGTTATGACAATGTGTTCATTCTTTTGCTGAAGTTTTGATTCTCTTCCAATGAGTCAAGTCATGTTCGTTAAAACAGTGTATTCATAATTTCACCGAAATTTAATATTCCCTTGTAATTTAGCGTAATTTAGACATAATTTCTCAACTGGAAGTAATTTTTCAGAACCATACAATGTCTCAAGCTTAAAAGAGTTGTACGAGATAGAATATGACCAAATGGCTAAAGTATCAGCGGTATTTAGTGGACATTTGAGTAATTCTCGTCATATTCATACGATGATGGGTGCGAATAAACTTTGGGTGTTTGTTAAAATTGAAAGTAGGCAAGAGTAGAAAAACTTGATTGAGCTATATACATAATTTCTGTAGCTGGGTTCGTAACAATAATGACTATCAACAAACGTGTCACATAGAATTACCGTGGCACGCAATAATTCTTCTTATACTATTACAGTGCATGCCCTTTCTTCTCTCCTTGATTATTTGTGTAACTTATTATGAACGTCAGTGGTGGTAGGTCCTTCCAACCAAAATTCCTTCGAGAGCACTCAACGCGGTCGAAGGAGGCACCATACAAAGACCAATATGCAGTGCAGTACATAATAAGTGTCAAGTGTGCTCCACATGCCGCAAATTAGGCAGCCATGAGCCGCCCATCAATTTTCTTCTCTAAAACTCCAGGGCCCAGAGAGCCATTCATATATAATACATTGGACACGCCAGGCCCGCCGTGGCGGTGCATCGTCTCCAATCCATCCACAAGTCTAGTGCCTGACAATTCGACATACATTCTCTCTCTCTCTCTCTCTCTCTCTCTCTCTCTCTCTCTCTCTCTCTCTCTCTCTCTGAGAATATCACAAATTAGCACCGACCCACTGCCTGCCCCCCACTATCTTAAGATTGAATAACTTTCCGACCCTTGATATATATTGTTCATCAAAATTCAAAACACTTTATATCCCCATTTTGGTTTTCCAAAGGTTCTTCACCTCTACCCTAGTTTGGGTCTCATTTTGATAAAGAATAACCTTTGTTTAAAAGCCTATTTTTTTCCAACACCAATGTTTGAATGAATGAGGACCCAACGTTTGAATACGTGTTGTCATCACATAATTTGGTCATTAAAATTTGATAAAGAAATTTAGGTACATAGTTTAGGAGCCAACCTAATTAAGTTGGGTAGTTTGATTTACTGAAAACCACCTTTATCACCACTATAGCTAGCTGCCATATCTAGTGAAACCACCATCATGTATATATATTGTTCCTGTGTTCCATCAACCAAACCCACAGGAAACTTGGAGAAATATTTGTATGTTTCGGGTACACCATGTGTGACTGGTGTACCATTCAATATACATAGGACATGTGAAAAAAAAATTATATTAAGTATTACGTTAGTCACGTAATGTACCTAAAACATGCAAAAAATACTCGAAACCTTGGCTCTTATTAATTATGTAATCTGTCGATGCTCAAACTTTTGTGTTCCAATTTGATCTATTAATATTCACAAGTCGGATGTGCATAATATTATAGTGAGTTCTCTACTAATGGCCATAGGCAGCTAGAATACTAATTTACAATAAAATATACATGACTAGAGTGATAGAATTTAACCAACATGGTTGAGGATAAACATGAGGAAGATGCAGAGAAACAAGGTTAACAAATTAAAAATATCAAAAGTCAAAACCCACCAAAAACAAAACCTTCGCAGGACAAGCCGACCTTCCCTTAATAAACTTTTCCATCGAAATATATCATATGATCTGTGCACAATGTTCATCACAAACTAAAACCCTGTGTGCTTTGCTGCCTATTAATCCAATCCAAATCAAACCAAGTCAAAACTTAAAACCCACGCGGCTGCATTTAAAACAAGCCCATCACTCACTCTCTCCACCCATCTGTTTATATATAAATACGCATTACAAGCATTCTTACAAACACCTCACAGTCATCACTCTCTGAATAACTTAAACACAAGCAACAGCTTCTAACCTTCTCATCAATGGCTTTTACTTCCCATTTGGCCATCTGGGTCACATTTTTTCTTGCCCTTTCCTCCTTCCTCGGCCCTTGTACAGCCACCATGCGCAAGCTCTCAGCTCTCGTCCAACAACAACCACTTATGCTCAAGTACCACAAAGGCCCACTGCTTAAGGGCAACATCACAGTCAATGTCGTATGGTATGGCAAGTTCTCCCCCATCCAACGGTCCATATTGGTCGACTTTGTTCAGTCTCTGAGCTCCCACCACACCCCGCAACCCTCAGTCTCATCGTGGTGGCAGACTACAGAAAGGTACAGGGGAGGGCCCTGCACCGTCGCTGTAGGGAATCAAATCCTCGACCAGACATACTCTCTCGGGAAAACACTCACGGACCAAAAACTCGCGGCTTTGGCAGCCAAAGCATCAACAGGTCGAAACGCAACGGTCAACGTGGTTCTCACGGACGATGATGTGGCGGTTGACGGGTTCTGCATGAGCCGGTGCGGGTTCCACGGGTCGGGCGGCGCGGGGAGAAAGACGGGCAGGCTGGCGTACGCGTGGGTGGGCAACCCGGCGATCCAGTGTCCGGGTCAGTGCGCGTGGCCGTTTCACCACTCGATTTACGGGCCGCAGACGGCGCCGTTAGTTCCTCCTAACGGCGACGTTGGGGTTGACGGAATGGTGATCAGTCTTGCAACGGTTTTGGCGGGAGCGGTGACGAACCCGTTTGAAAACGGGTATTTTCAGGGTACGAGAGACGCGCCTTTAGAGGCTGTGAGCGCGTGTACGGGTATTTTTGGGAAAGGGGCTTACCCGGGTTACCCCGGGGAGGTCGTTTTGGACAAAACGACGGGAGCTAGCTACAATGCGGTGGGTGTACGTGGACGCAAGTACTTGCTCCCGGCGATGTGGGACCCGCAGACCTCCACGTGTAAAACACTCGTCTGAGCAATGGCGACAACCTGTGCGTGTTGCTAGAAGATTATAGTGTTATGCATAATTGATTTTTTTTTCTTCTTCTTTTTGGGGTGAAAAATGTGAATGTGTACATTTAATTCAGGAAAAGTGTTATATAAAATAAAATAAAAATTGTTGAATAAGATCATGTATCAAGAATGGGACAATGTTTAAGTGATAATAGAAAGTTTAGGGAGAGATTAACTACTCTCACCCCACTAGCTCCATAGCATACTCACAACTTCGAGTCGGAAGGAGAATGAGACAATACTTAGGTTCCGAAATCTTTCACCATACATATAGTACAATTGGAACCGTTCATTTCGTAAATAATAATTTACAAATTATTATGCAAATTTTTTTTAGTAATCGAAAACAAATGGACGTTTCATCACAAAGATGTTAATTAAATTTTATTTATCAAATCCACTTTGATATGTGATAAGTAGTAATTCATGATCTCTAACTTAAAGTCACATTTAAGGTTCATAATATATTGAATTAAATGAAATTGCGTGGTAATTGCATATTTTGTAACATAGGACTTGAAATGAAATTAAAATTGGGCTTTTGATCCAAAGACAAAAATTAGAATTGGGCTTAAAAATAATTAACATGTGAGTCATGAAGACCCAAACTTAGACCACAGCCCATCACCTTCTCCCCACCATAACGCCAATTAACCAAACCTCACTGCTTCCTCGCTCCCTCCATTTCCTCCAAAAATGGAACCCCAACACCAGCCCACCTCCTGCAAAACGGAAGACCACCACCATCACTACCTGCAAAACCCTAGCTCCTCAGGATCCCCACGCTCCACCACCCTTCCCACCCCAACCTGCTGCAAATGCGGAGCCCCAACCCCTATGGCCGCTCCTCCTCCCTCCTTCTCCGACATCTCCCCTCCCCCAAACTACCGCCCAATCCGAGCCCCCGCCATCAACCTCCCCCCAAACCCTAATTCCCAACAAGCCATCATCCTCGCCCCTGTCCCCCAACCCCTCTCTGTCCCCCAAATTTCCCCTCCCTACCATTTCCAAGCTCCCTCCAAGATCATCCAGTCCCCCGACGACCTCCGCCGCTTCCACGACTCCTTCCCCGGTAAGCACTTCCTCGGCTTCGTTGCCGCCCTTTCCGATTCCATTCGCGCCAAAAAAATCTCCGACCCATGCCACGAATCTCCCACGATCGCCACCATCGTCTCCATTCTCCAAACCCTAATTCAGTGGGTCGACGAAATCCCACCCACCAAGCAAGCCGCCCGATACGGCAACGTTTCGTTCCGCTCCTGGCACGAGCGCTTGTCCCAAACCAGCGACTCCCTCATGCTCCAGTTCCTCCCGGAGCATCTCCACGCTTCTACGATCGAGATAGTCCCTTATTTCACAGATAGCTTTGGAAACCCTAGCAGAATCGACTATGGTACTGGGCACGAGACCAACTTCGCTGCTTGGCTGTACTGTCTCGCGAGAATGGGCGTGATTAAAGAAGAAGATTGTCCGGCCGTTGTGGCCCGGGTTTTCGTGAAGTATTTGGACTTGATGAGGAAGCTGCAGTTGGTGTATTGCTTGGAGCCGGCGGGGTCTCACGGCGTTTGGGGTCTCGACGACTACCATTTCTTGCCGTTCATTTTTGGGTCGTCGCAGTTGATTGGGCACAAGTACATGAAACCCAAGTCTATTCACAATGATGATATAGTGGAGAATTTTTCCAAGGAGTATTTGTATATTTCGGGCATTGAGTTTATTAAGAAGGTGAAGAAGGGTCCGTTTTCGGAGCATTCGCCTTTGTTGGATGATATCAGTGGGGTGCCTAATTGGAACAAAGTGAATAGTGGGTTGCTTAAGATGTATAAAGCTGAGGTCTTGGAGAAGGTACCCATTATGCAGCATTTTCTCTTTGGCTGGCTGATCAAGTGGTATGACCTCCGCCCATTTCTGTCCCTCTCTCTCTCTCTCTCTTTAAACTATTTGCATAAACTCAGATTGTTAGTTTGTGCAAATATTGAAATATTTTAAGCAAAGAGATGAAATGTGGTTCTGTTCTTCTCATTTTACTGCCTTGTGTAGCGATGGTTCAAACTTAGATGGGATCATGCATTGGTTTAGTTTGACTGAAACTAGTTTAATTTCCTTACTTGAGTGAACCAACTTAAGCAGATAGGCATTCAAACTAAAAAACTTGGTTTTGTTCAGAGTCTTCGTGAACTTGAAAAACTTTTATTTATTTATTTATATCAATGGGGGAGGGGCATTCAAACTTGGTATATTTATCTCTACAAAATTAAGCAAATCTCTAGCAGGTGTTGTAGTTTTGATTTAACGTTATCTCGGGGCCATTTACCTCCAATCCCTCATCCTTCATGTTAATTGTAAAGGTCTCGCTCTGAACTTAGTCTCCTCATATTGTCTATTTCCTAGATGTATCCCTTTTTCCCACCTGCGAAGACTGCATCCTGATGTGCCTCCTATGTTAACTTTTTATATTTCAATCAACAACATTCCTGATAGTGTTTTGAGAGCCAAACTTTGGCTGATCACATCACCCATTTGTGTCATTTTTAGCAGGGTGTTATTGATTATTCTAATCGAATTATGATTTTCGGATTTACTTTGTCCTATTGATTGCACAAATCTTAAGAGTGGTGTACAAACACTTTGTGTACCTTGAGTTGCAGTATTGTCACATTCCAATATTGTTTTTGTGTAATTCTTTAAAGAGGAAAAGGGGCAAGTTATGATGTGTTTCACAGTTGCCTTCCTAAATAAAAGCATACTTGGATATCATGCAAGTTTTGCCATACATCAGCTCATCCCGTCTTCATGATCATCTTTGTGTTTAGAATTTATTTGGTTTCTACCTGAACCATACCTCTATTACCATGGGGGAAGCATCATTTCCATGAGAAAGGGGATAACTTTCGAGAGAATAATGATACTGCTCAGCTTGGATTACTTATGTGAATGAATACTGCTGTGGCAGCATGATTTCTATAACTAGTAGTCATAATTTATGTCCTGTTCATACATTCATAACTTTTCACGGATTAGTTTCTTGTACTAGATGTATCAATCATGATTCAACAGTTGATAACTAGATAGACAGTCTTTTAAACTTATAATTGTACATTTCAAGTCTTAGAAAGCATATTTTATTTGATAGTATTATGATCAGATGAAAAACATTGCAGGACCCCCTCATTAACAAGCTTTCTAGATTATCGTAGAGTTGTTTTATGATGTATAACCGTAGTTTATCCTGTTCTTAACTGATTCATTCCTCCAATACTCTATTTTCCCAGGGAGTAGGATGCCGTGTGAGATCTACTGGAGCATCTGGTGTAGAAGAAGAAGTCAATTTTGTGTCAGGTTATAAGCCACTATAAGAGTAACAGTTACTAGATTGGAAATGCATACATCTCCTCTTTTGTATCCATTAACTTGTTTTTGCCTTTTGCTCCTGTAATGAATACTGAATATGCAGTCTTGTTGTTGTGTTACTGCATTTTTCTTCTTTTGATCGTAATATTTCACTCTGAGTGGAAAAGTGATCTCAAAAGAAGAAAAAGACCAAAGAAAGTATATTAGAATTTACTATTTCATTTAGAATCTGAGCATATATAGAGCTTCTTGTTCTTTGAATTGTTCTGAAACCTTTATTTTTTATTGAAAGACAAGGGAGAGTTTCCATCTCAAGTCATGATGATGCAATAATAAAATTATCATGTTAAGATAACCACACCAGAATTTAGGTATAGACCTCGGATGGTTTTTGTTGCATTCTTATTACACCAGAATTTACATCTAGCCTTGCAGAATCCAGGTTGCCAAACAAATTTAGGTAACTTGGGTAAGAACCTCTTCATCTTTAATGTTTTTGTAGTTTGTAGGAAAACCATTAACCATTCGTTCTAATGTGTGATAAGTTGCTTGTCCACCCAATGGTCAAAAGACACGCAAACAACACCCCTTCTGTCCAAGGTCAGCAAATATGAGACGCCCTTCTTTTAAGGGTTTAAGGCCTGCTTTCTACTTCGGGAGCATTCTCTGTTTGAGCACTTTCACCGCAAAGCCCAATCTGGGCAAAAGTTACCCTTAGACCATCTTCAGTTATGAGTTATATCTCAAATAGAGCTCTAAAATAATACAAAATCCATCTCCAGTCATGAGCTAAACAAAATTTTGGTCACATTTAGCCCGCTTTTGCCTAGGCCAAATTTTATGTGGGTCCCATGCATATGTTTTTGAAGAAGATAAATTATCAAGTGTGTGCAAGAGCACGAATCATCTCGTGCAAATACATATCCAACAGCCAACAATAAAAGCGCTGACGTCATCGAAATATTTTTAAAAGCCTTTTTAAATGTTTTCAATTTGTGTTGTTTAAGAAAAAATTATTGGTCATGACCATTGGTGGTCAAACTATTGAAACCCAACCTTTTATATATATATAAAAAAATGTGGTCGCCTTTTTAAATGTTTTCAATTCGTACAAAAAATTATAAAAAATTACTAGTCATGACCGTTGGAGGTCAGACCATTGAAACCTATCCTCTTTTTTTTTAATAAATAAATAAATGTGGTCATAAATAAATAAATGTGGTCACCTTTTTAAATGTTTTCAAGTGTTGTTTAAAAAAATTATAAAAAATTATTGGTCATTGAATATTGTCTCTAAATAGTAGTTGAATTAAATTAAACAATACATAGTTGTGGAATGTATGAGTGTTGTACTATAGTTTTTCTCAAAATAATAAAATATGAAGGACTCTAAAATGTAGCCTTGTATAGCTGGATATGGAAAAATTTAGCATTGCACTATTCTTTAAAAAATTAATATTTTGGAGGGCTAAATATTTAACCATAGAATACATTTAGCCTTATGACTGGAGATGGCTTTAGGTTGAAGTAACCCACTCCACCGTACAAATCCAGCCCGGGCAGATGATGGGCTCCACGAAGACAACCCGAGCTGTTTCCTGAGGGCGCTGACGTAGAAATTTTTATAATTAAAAAAAATCTGAAAAATTACCAAAAAAATTCATAATCTTTTTTTATACATACATAAAATTTTTATTTATTTATTATTGATCTCATACATACAAATAAAATTAATCCCATGTGAATAGTAATTGTCATTGGGTTGCCATGGCAATAGGTGAAAAAGCAAAAAAATAAAAAAATTGCTAGGCATGACACCATGAGTGAAAGTGCTCTTAAAGCCCTACTTCCAATCCAGAGAGATTAATTAATTCCTAATTCAAGGTTCAGTACTTTCCACGAAGATTAATTAATTAATTAATTTCCTTTCATTATTATTATATGCATCCTCATGCCCTCTAGTTTGTCCATCTCTATCTTTGCCCTTGATCCAATAAAGAAAAAAAATAGTAGTATTTTCCCTTGATGCCCTAAATCAGGTAGTCTTGATTCTTGATTATGCTGAAAAAATATACAGAGTTCTTAATTTCCTTGCAGTTTGTTTAGGAATGCTCCCTCTACAATCACAAAATGGATGTTTTGAAATAACGGTGTGCTGGGGGGGCATTATTTTAAGTTTTGAGGAAAGATTAAGTAGAATTACCGGAAAACCCTCGAAATTTCAGAGTTCAATGCAGTGCAGTGAATGAATCTCGGTGGTAGATGGGCTGTATGGTGTGGTAGTGGGCTAGTCCTTGTTTAACCTTTGATGCACTCTAAAGGCCATTTCCAGAAGAAATCTAGGAGAGAAGATTTATGTGTTTTTACTTTTGGGAGATTTTCGAATAAGTATTTTATGATAATGATTGGTTACAAAATCTTGGCCGTTTGATTGCATTTATTAAATGTGTTTGTAGTCTTTTAGATGCAATCCAACAGTCGATATTAGAAGTATGTAACTAATTCTTAACATAAAATACTTATTCGAGAATACTCATTTACTTTTAAATGAAAAATATTAAACACAACAAGACATGAAATTCTATTTCTTTTTCTTTTTATTTTTCTTCTTTCCTTGAAGCATGATGTACAAGGGTCAATGCACATCATTTTTGTTTTGGTTGGTAGGTCAAAGTACTTATTTGTGATGATCTTTTTAGGGAAGACTTAAATAATCCAGTGTGCTAGATGGTGAATGCGTGAAAAGTGTAGTAGCAAGTCTTTATTCTCTCTCATGTATGACCCAAAACAATGTTATGAATTAAATCCAGCACTCTTGTGCTTTGCATTACACGCTCTGTATTCATACACATAGGTCTTTGCACTAGAAGGACCTTGGTAGAGGTATTGAAACATTTCTAAATTTTGTTCACAAGAAGATGATGTGACAAGTGAGACTTACAAAATCAAATAATGTTCAAATTAAATTTTTTATATTTTTTTTAGAACAAGTAGAAATTCATTATAACATGAGCAAGTACACGAGATTGAGATTAATAGTAAGAATACACCTTAAATGGAGGTTCATGCATACAATAATCTGAAAAATTAAATCCATCAAGACAGTGAGAAAAAAAAATACAAAATCAAGACTAAGAGTTGAAGGTATGAGGATCCAAAAGGCTCATTGCAGCACCAATGCTCCATAGAGATCATGAAAGACCGACACATTCTACACTAACAGAGAACCAGAACCACCCAAAATGAAAAGGTCTTATCGCCCATCATTCATCCGGCCAAAGAAGGCCACAACACCTCCAGAAACCCACATAATCTCACAACACCCAAAAATAATAGATCCACCATGGCTAACAACTCCACCTCCAAAACGAAACATAGCTCTAATATATCCAATACCTACTTCAACCCAAATCACAAAAGACTAAGACGTCATAGAGGAAACGTTGTGGCCTCTTACGTTTTTGAAAATTAAAATATCTCAAATCTAACAGTAATGTTGGTTAAAGTAAAATAATAGGAATGTTATACATTTTTATTAAAATATTTTTTTATAATTTTTTGTCTGAAAAATGGACCGGGGCTCCCACGCGCAAGTTGAGCCAAAAAAGAATAAAAAGTACAGAGACCCCACTTGACCTTTTTACCATTGTAATTTGGAGTAGGTGGAAAAATTAGCCTCTCTGCCCCCTCGCTGTCTCTCTTTCTCTTGCCTGTTTTGCTTGCTGTCTTCTCTCTCTCTCTCTCTCTCTTTCTTTTTCTCTCTCGTCTGTTTAGCATGGCTCATGGTCACTGCACACACAACCTTTTCATAGATTCGCACTTCCCCAGCATCCAAATTATATCTATGTATCCTCATTTTGCGTGGGTTGGGTTCACTATTCTGCTCCAGTGAGTTGAAAGCGAAGGATTTTTCTAGATTAATTAATTATTCTTAACCATGGAAAGTCAAAAGGAAAAAAGAATATATTTTCCAAAACATAATATATAATCATTAATAAAATTAAGAATTGTACAGAACATGGGCACCACCAAATTGCCTTCCTATACTAAGAAAAACTTGCATTGTTTTCATTCATCTCATTCTCTTTTTTCATGTCACTTATCAAAGGAAAAAAGAAATAAAAAGAAGAGGACAATACGACGAGAGTAGAGAAGTTCTTCACCTATATTAAGGTGCAGCGCATGCAGGGTTAATTTATTTTGAATCTCAAGAGTAATTCATAAAAGTTACACATTTTTCAAGCATTGGATCTAATGACATCCAAGGGCCCTAAAATGATGTGGCAATTATATGGAATTTTCCTTTTCAATTACAAGTCTTTCTATTATCCTTATGTTTATAGTTCATTGATTTATCATGTTTGGCAAGTCTAGACATAGAAAATGATTTTGTGGCATATCGAAAAAAGATAGGGAAAAATGAAACCCTCCATGCATTTTGGTTTTCATTTTCTCTTCCTGTGGGAAATAAGATTATATGCATGTTTTTCATGACCAAATTGTACTCGTGAACAATTTAGCATTAAATGCATTCCTTTTTTATTTTATTTATTTCATATTTCTAATAGAGGTATAATTGAAAAACTAAACAAAGTTTGGGTTGCTACGTTATTATAATAATTTGTTGTGGTTAGTTTGTATTGGCCTTTTGTGACTAGTGACTTTTTTGGTGGAATTATGAATGCAATCCTATAATTTCTTAAGAAATAAAAACAAAAGTATGTTTATATTCCTAGACAAACCAAACTTGAAAAAGGAAATAAAGTTGTATATTATGAATACTTTCATAGCATTACCAAACATGCGAAAAGAATTTTCAATTTCTCATCCACTGGAAAAAAAAAAGGCAAAAACTGATTTCCATCAAATCCTTAGCATGAACCAAATGGGACCTAAAATCAAAATACAAAAATTCATGCACACGTAAACGAATATCAAACCATTAATGCATGTGAGATTCATTTGCCACTATAATTCATGATTATAATGTTGCACCTAATCTCAATGCTCATTTCGTAGGTCTACAACACCTAATTTTTTTGTTTATCTAGATAGTAGGTCCCAAATCCTTATCCCAATCTAAATCAAGTAGTGTGTTACACGAAACTAGTGAAAGATCCCACACAAAAAAAAATCACAAGAATAAGATAAATTTCTAGTAATAATAGTAGCTATTTCCAGAAGAATTGTTAACAAACTTGGCGTTCCATAAAAATGGAACACAGACAAAAGGGTAAACAAGCAAGAATGGCATGGCAAATACATTATTGTTTGCCATGGTAAACAAGCAAGAATTGCATTCTTCTTCACTTTTCAATCTGACTTTGCCCACTTGCCCAACCTGCATTTACTGCACATCCAAACAGATTTAACTCAGATTCATAGGAAAATGAAAAAGAAGTAAACTTATTGACTGTAGCAAAGAATCCCATGTTTGAAACCAGAAAGGCTACAGAGAGTAAAACTGAACCTGTAGGTTGAAAAACTTGAATTTAAAACCTTGGTCTTTAACTATGGTCATTGTATTTAACCAACCCAGTTTCAAGTTTCAATATTTTCAACCCACTGTTGAAAAAAATCAGAGAGTGCCATAATTTCCAGTTTCCAGATGGTTCACCACCTCCCTCTCACTCCTCTAAGCCACCGACTCGTGTCGGTGCCTCTCTTTCCCACAAACCCCAGTTGGAAATTGTAACTTCTCTCTCTGTCCAAAAAAAAATTATAACTTATCTCTCATGTCTCTATCTTTCCACAGTATTTACTGCTCATTTAGTCATCTCACATCCTATCTTTCAGAAAACCCCACATCCTATTTTTAATTACATGTATGTATGTGGATGGATGATGCCAATCACCAAACACCAATATCATTTAACTCTATCATTAAACACCCATTTTGACAGTTTTCAGTGTCCAATTTTCATTTATTCATTTTCTAAGTTGGAGTTTTAAATTTTAAATTTCTCCTTATCTAAGTTGGAGAGAGAGAGAGAGTTGAGGTGTGTATCCATCAATTGGGTTCAAATTAATTTAACCTTTTTCATACCTCATTCATACGTATTTGTTGCTTTTTCACTCTTTGTTTTTGTTTTTACCTTTGTTGTTCTGGATTCTGCTTGCTGGTGGCAGCAGATGGGTTTCATTTTGTAGCTTTCCTCTCTCTCTCTCTCTCTCTCTCTCTTTTGCCCTGCGTCTCTGGCGGATAACCCGGTGAGTAGTTGCATGATCTAAATCCTGAAAACTTACAAAGCCCACTTCTTTAGGGCGTATAATCAGTGTATGTTTTTACGTTTTAACATATATTTTGTCTGAAATCTTCTTCAAAAAGGAAAAATGTTTGTGCAGAAGATAAAAGCTGCAATCTTTTTCCACTATGGTGGACTTGTTTGCAAAGCAGGGGATTTCATACTGCATCTGCAACTGAAAGATGTGGTTTTGTTTATAAGCCCGAGTTCAGTGTTGGTCTTTTTGCTTCCGGGGGTTTCCAAATGATTAAAAATGAGTTTTCAAAGCCTAAATCTTTATCTCATTTATTCAGCTACCTAGTGGTGTTTTGGCTCTCCTCTAGATCTGTGAGGAGGTCGTCATGCACTTAATGAAACAACCCTTTGATACACATGCAGTGATTTGGACTCTGTTCATCTTATGCCTTCCTCCTCCTGGGTTTTGATTCTTTTGTTGGTTGGCCACTGCTTTTAGCTCTCATTTGGACTGAAATCTCTTTTGTTTCACCCATGTTATGGTTTTATTGGTCACATCTGGGTGTTGCTGGATCTACCACAAGAGTTTTAATTTCTTTTTGGTCTTCTTTTGCAGATATTAATTCTTTTAACTTTCTTCTTTGTCTCCCAAATTATTTTCCTTGCCTGTTAATTTTTCTGATTATCTTCTTCTACAACTGTATGTTTTATGTTTGTCTATTTTCTGCCTTATCTTTTTGTTTTTGTAATTCCTCTTCTGAATTTTCTTGTTTTTATTGGCATAGAAGGGCATTTTGTTTTCCAGCAGTTGTTAATGTTACATGATTAGTGGAAAATATGATGGATTCACTTCTGCTCACGCATTGTATATGAATCTTTATTTCTTTTGGTACCTGCTACAGTGGTTCTCATGAATTTCAGACAAATTCATTCTTTTTACATGAGATTTAGCTCAAATGTCATATTTTCTTTCCCATTTTTAATGCAAGTGTTTGCTCTGAAAACTGATTTTCCACTTGTGGGTTTTCTCATTTTCTGCAGGCAGACTAGATGGAAGTGGGAACTGATTTTCGGCATTGGGACGAATTAATACCCGATGCTTTGGGTCTGATTTTCAGCAACCTTACTCTCCAGGATCTACTAACAGTGATCCCAAGGGTTTGCCAATCCTGGAGCAAGGCAGTGATGGGGCCTTACTGTTGGCAAGAGATAGACATTGAGGAATGGAGTAATAGATGCCGGCCTCAGCACCTTGATCGTATGCTTCAAATGCTGATTACAAGAAGTTGTGGATCGCTCCGAAAGCTGTGTGTTTCTGGCCTCCAAAATGACATGATCTTCTCTTACATCACTGAACAGTAAGCAGAATTCTTTAAATTTTGTTCTAACCCCACTAGCTCCTATGTGAATAATGCTCTCTGTTTTTACTCCCATAAATTTTTTTTTTTTTTTTTGTTTTTTTTAAACCCATTAGACAGCATAGCATTTAGTATAAGGTGAATCCTCTGGCTCAATCGTGATGATATTCTTATATACTTGTAGAATCAGTAGTTCAGGCCATATATTCAATGTCTTTTGTTAATTAAGTTTTTTTTTTCTTTTTGTTTGGGGAAGAGTGGTTTATGATAAATTGGTCCTATTTGATTTGAGTCCTGTTTTCTTGGTTTTGCAAGTGCTGGTTCTCTTCAGACCTTGAGACTGCCAAGAAGTGAAATAGGTGACTCAATAGTAGAAAAGACAGCTGGAAGGCTTTCTACTATCACTTTCTTGGATCTTAGCTACTGTGGCAAAATTGGTTCTCGGGCTTTAGAGGCAATCGGAAAGAACTGTAAATTGCTCGTGGGGTTGTGCCGGAACATGCACCCATTGGATACAGCGGGCAAGCCCTTGATGGATGAGGAGGCTCATGCCATTGCCACCACAATGCCTAGGCTGAAGCACCTTGAGATGGCATACCATCTTATCAGCACAAAAAGCGCTCTTCAAATACTCTCAAGCTGCACCGAGCTCGAGTTTTTGGATTTGAGAGGGTGTTGGGATGTTCAACTTGAGGACAAGTTCCTCAAGGAAAAGTACCCAAAATTGAAGGTTTTAGGGCCTCTTATTCTGGACTACTATGAGAGGAATGAGTGGGAAGATTGCTCCGATTTCTCAGATGCTTCTGAGTATTTGGCCTGGGAATTTGTGGCTGGTGAATTGGAGGATTACTATGATGATGATGATGATGTGAGTTATGATGGGATGTGGGATGATGAGGGAAGGCTGGAGGAGCTTGAGCTGAGGTTCTATGAAGGAATTGATCAGAATGGGGATGCAGTGTATGGAGGGCATGGTTGGCCTCCATCTCCTTAATAAAGTTGTGTTTTTTTCTAATTTTTCAAACTGTTTGCTTTCTCTGTTTTCTAGCATTTCCTTGATGCATCTGTGTTGAACTTAGTATATCTTTTTATGGATATATATATAATCTGTTAATGGAAAATGAAAAAGCATGGTTTGTTTAGTCTCATTTTCAGCCGTTGTCTGATGAGTGATGACTTTGTATTTTCCAATAATTGCATACATGGAAAGTAAGGACTGGTTAAGTTGAAAAAGAAAGCAGAAAAAGTAGATTTTCTTTCTTTCTTTTTCACCTAAGCAGAACGGTGGATTTACTGACTGGCTAGCATTTTCCTAGTTGGAATTTACTGTTCTGACTCCTGACTGAGTTTGCTGGACATGAAGCATCAAAACCTATTTTTGGATCGAAGTTGCTCCATACGAATTTCAAATGAAAATCTCTCTCCCTCACTCATTGTTGTAGGGCCAAGGACCCCATGAGGGCTATTGAGGTGTATGGCGAGCATGGACAGAGACTAATCCACCTTACTATTTCAAATACTAAACATGATTAGGATATTTTAAAGAACAATAAATAATTATTTGTATAGAATAATATCTAATGTTGATAAGTATCTTATCATTATTCTTCCGAAAAGTTGTTGGTAAAGCTATTTGTGGGGGGGGACAAGAACCAAAACCTCCCTTCAAAAAGAGCTAAAAACGAACCAAAGGTAAGCAATAATGCAAACCATCATAGAACAAAACGAAACCAAAAACTAGCAAAAGCGACAAGTCGGAAGCTGAGACAAGTTTAGGCCACCAAACCAAAGGGGAACCATAATGATCAACGCCAAAAGGTATCGAGTTCTTGACCTATCCTAATCGCAATGTAATTTTTTTCCTTTTTCACCCCTTGGTCGAACTTCAAGAGTTAATTTTTTTTTTTTCTACCAACATTTCGTCAACACTTGGTTAACAGAGATGAGGCAATATCATTATTCTTTTTGCTCAAAACAAAAGTTAGTCTTACCCACTATTATAATAAAATCGTGAGGAATCCTATACATTGTGGAAGAGTTGTTGAGCCTAGGTTAGATTATTTACGGAGCTTTTGCACCAAAAGAAAGGAAAGTGATGGTGACACTAGTGATGATGATTGAAGAGGACTTTGAGCTCATCGTGGTAGCCATTTTCACTATCAATTTCATGTAAATAACTAAATATTAAAACAATTAAATTGCAACACATTCATGCAAGTATATTTATGTTAAATTATACCATGAATCATTTTACTATTAAAATACCAGACGAATGGTTCAGATAGCCATTGAGGTCACGTGACATAGACATACTTGGAAAAGCAACATATAGCTCTATCAATAGCTCCTATGAAAATTTGAAATTTCCAAAAGTTTGTGGACTTTTGGAGTTGGTTTCTTGGCTTAGAGATTAGTCATTAGAGACAGATGGCTACTCTTGGGGACGTCCTTCAGTTGTGTGGTGTGGGTAACCGACCAGCCGAGGACACAAGTCGTCTCAAATAATTTCCATAGCCTTGGAGGCTGGTGAGATAACTGAGCACGTGCCTAAATTTATTAGGCAATTTTTCATTTTTCATTTGGATAAAAAGGCGATAAATTTTATTAGATTAATAAATAAATAAAAAAGAATATAAAGAAGACAAACGGTAAATGGAGCTATCTCAATAGCAATATGAGAGAGATGAATTTTTTTTTAAAGTACACAACTGAAGTGAAAAAGACATTGTAAAACCTTTGGTGATGGTTTCATCCAAATTTGATTAATAGAAAAAGACATTGTAAAACCTTTGAAATTCTGAGTTCGTCCATGTTTTTCATGTCAATTATCTTGCCAAATAAATGACTTAATTAATTTGACCTAGGATATATTCTTCTCGTGAAATTACCTATAGGATGACTAAAAATGCCTAGAGGGGGGTGAATAGGCCAATTTAAGATTATAATCAATAAATAAAAATAAACTTCGATAGAAGGATTGATATGGCTTATCACTCATGAAACATGCATATCAACACGCATAGAATTATTTTACATAGTAAAACCCCATTTTAGGGGAAAATCTAAGTCCAAAACAAATCCACTATATAACCTTAAGAAGTACTCACACACTTATCATAGACACAATCTACATAATGTTTACCGACTTCTTCGTAACCCAAGTTCTGTCATGGGATGATCTTTCGACAATCCTTATGTTGAACGCAATACTGGTTACGATTGCTTCAAGCTCGCCGAATACAAACTGCCAAAACGGTTTTGGTGCCCTCAATCATATAAGTCACAGAACATGTAAATGAATGCAATATGAATTATGAAAGTATTTTTTAAGGTCCTTTTCTTAAATCATCCCTATGAATGATCAACAAATTTAATGAATGACATAGTTTATCTTTAAGGTCATTTTAATGTTTGCCGAAATTTTTTAGTTTGTTTTTGTGATTTATGATTTGACTTGATTATTTGTAAGGATAATACAACACCCACAAAGAAAATAATATGAGTTGAGTAACATGAGTAGAGGTCATAAATATGAACATCCACATATACCCACACACAAGGGCGGAGCCACACTGGGACCAGTGTGGTCCCAGGCCCCCACTCAAGTTTTTTTATATTTTAAAAGTAATATATTGTTATGTATTTCTATATATATATATTATTTCAAATATTTTACGTTTTGATATGTACCCATAAATGTTGTGGCGAATCTATTAAGGCACAATGAGATGCTTCAAATTGCCCATTTGCTCAATTGGTGGCGGTGCACTCCAGGTGTACAGATTACTTTATTTCTATTTTCAGTATATAAGTAAATGTCTTTGTCCTTTTACTTTAATTTATTTTTATATTACTCTATTTACTTAAGTTTACAATGTAAATAAGGAAATACCCCTTATTTGGATTCAAATAATAAAAATACTAGAAAATCAAATTCGCACAAAATCAAAATATAAAAAATCAGTTTTAGTGCAAAATACGATATAGGCTAAAAATGATGGCTCATTAAGTCAATATATACTTTATACTAAAATCCCATAAAATCAAGTTTTCTTATTTGATGTGTAAGGAATAAAAGCCGCCAAAAATTATCTTGAGAAAATGATTATTTCGAAAAACCATTTTTCATACTTAGTCAATATTTTTATATAAAACATTTTTTCATATATGATATGAATGCATGAAGGAACCTAAGGTTTTTTTTAGTTTGTGAAATTTTGATTTTTTTCTTTCTATTGGGTTTAATAGGGGAAAATGCTTTAAAGATATTTGCTAAATTGCTACTCTTTGTCTATCTCTTACAATTTTTCTTGCTTAAAATGTATTTGTCTATCCCTTTGTCGAGGACAATTATGATTGCAACCAATAAGCAATAAATTCTTGACATATGTGATATATATATACTATTTTTCGTATGTATTGTGAGTTCGAATTTTTGATTCTTTATAATTTGTAAGAGGCCCCCACACACATGAAATCCTGGCTTCGTCACTGCCCACACATAGATATATTTTCACAGATCGGTGGAATAAAAAATATAAACATACATTTGAGTTTAAAAAAAACAAATTAGAAACTCACTAATAGGAATTGTTGGCTTAGTAATTTCCGCTAGCTCACGAGCTTAGACCTCAAAGGAGATGAGGATCACAAGAGCAAACATAAAGTCAAGAAGAAGAAAAGTCTTGGAGGATGATGCCATGTTTTTCTTAACAACACAATTAAGGTGAAGACAAGATTGTTGAGTGAACTTAATGTGGCTTGGCCTCAACCAATTTATAGACCCTTGAGGATAGGGACGGACTCAAGTCCCATAATTAAAATCACTTACTTAATTAATAGAAAGAAATAGACATGCCTCATGTTACTGTGAGACGTTAATTAATGAATCTTATACATATTATGAAGTTTTAGAATTATTTTTTTAAGAGAGTCATGTCGGTTAATATTTAGTTTTTGTCTTTGATGTCATTGGACTAGATTTCAGGAAATTATGGCAGTTGAAAGGGATTTAAAAAAGTTATTTTCAAGTGTGATTCTCTCCAAATCGTTTCAATTTGTCAGCTCGCTCAAGTCACTAGGGAAGTTTTACACATGGTTGCCATATTGTTATTAGGATGGTTACTTTTACAGTCTTTGTCATTTGTATTCTTTATTTTTATTGATCTAATAAAATTATATTGACTTTTATCAAATAAAATAAAATATTTAAAAAATATTTTTTAAGACATGGTATTTAATGAGTAAGTCATGATCATACAATTTTTCCGGTTGCCAAAACCCAAAAAAATAATATTAAAAAAAATTAAAGTTTAGGCACCTTTATAAGCTTGCTACGTGTTTTAATTTAGGGAGTTGATTTCCCCACTCCTCTTTTGTTTACTTACGCTTCATCTTTTGTTATAGTAAAAAATATTTTAAAAAAATAAAAGGAAGTGTAAATGGACAAAAGAGGAGTGGGAAAATCAACATCCTTAATTTGTACTAGGGTTATGAGGCATTGAATTAAGGTCGAGTTGGAATCCAAATTCTCATTAAAGGTGGTTACTAAACTATGTGGAATCGGGATAGGAATGATATTGACTCCTTATAAGTTATTTACTAAGGGAATCAGAAATTGAGATAAACATGAATTAGAGTATTCAGGAATCGGATTAACTTGGAATCGGAGTCAAGCATTCCAATTAAGTTGTTTACTAACTATTAGGAATCAGAATGAAAACAAAACGAATTTTGATTAAAATTGTTTACTATTGTTAAGAATCAGAATGAAAACCAATTTGATTACCAATACCACCTCTCCTGTTCCAGAATGTCATTGCCCTTATATCAAGAATCAAAGTCATGATTACATGTGAGCTTCGCATCACTTTTCATTCCCAACATGCAAGTAAACAAATGAGTGGTCATTAATGGAAATGACTCTCGCACTTGTTATAAATAAATTATTCAATTAAAATGGATGAAAATTTTGAAATTTGAAAATGTATGTGA